GTTTTCATTTTGAAAGAGGGTCTTAATGAGTTGCCCAGCTGGTCTTGAACTTGTGATTCTCCTAACTCAGCCTCCTGAGTGGTATAATTACAGGCCTGCACCACCACACCCACTTCATTTGAATGGTTTTTAAAAAATAAAATATTGGCTGGGTGTGGTGGTGCATGCCTTTAATCCCAGCACTCCGGAGGCAGAGGCAGGTGGTTGTCTGTGAGTTCAAGACTAGCCCAGTTTACAAAGTGAGTTCCAGGACAGCTAGCTAGGGCTACAAGGAGACCCTGTCTCAAAAAGACATATATATAAGACAATATATAAGACAATATATAATATTGAGGCTGGAGAGATGAGGTTAAGAGTAGCTTGCAGAGGACTGGGGTTTGGTGCTTAGCACCCACACGGCAGCTAACAACCAACAGTAATTCCACTTCCAGGGGATCTGATGCCCTCTTCTGACCTCCTCAAACATTGCAAGCACATGGTACACTTACATACATCCAGTCAATACACTCATACCTATAAAAACTTTTTTTTTTTTGGCCTTTTTGAGACAGGGTCTCCCTGTAGCCCCAGCTGTCCTGGAATTCACTATGTAGACCAGGCTGGCCTTGAACTCAGAGATCCGCCTGCCTCTGCCTGCCAAGTGCTGGGACTGCAGGCGTGTGCCACCACGCCTGGCTTATAAAAACTTTTAAAAAGGCCAGAAAAAAAAGAAAAAAAAACTTTACAAAGGGTCAAGATAACTGAATAGGTAAAGGCATTTGTTGCCAAGCCTGACTGCTACAGTTCAGTTCCCAGAGCCCACACGGTAGAAAGAGAGCCAGCCAGCTCCTGAGGTTGTCCTCTGACCTCCTGGTGTGTGCCCCAGCTAGCACTCACCTGTGCACAAACACACACAAAATATATAAAATATAATTAAAACTTTTACAGATACTTTCAGTAATTTAAATCACAAGCTAATTCCAAATCTGAAATGCTTAAGCACATATTTCTTCACCTTAGTATAGTATGTATAATCATGCTTAACGTATGAGACTGTAAATACTTAACTGTTGTGTTATCTTCAGGGTATGTTTGCACATGAGTGGGAAAAAAAAACAAAACTTGAAGAGTATTGCAAACATTCTTGTTTTAGGATTCTCCTGTAACGTGTTTCACTGTTTCTTCAGGCTCTAATTCCGAAGAAAGCACACACTTCCTTGATTGGCAGTGTGAGTTACAGATTGGAGGGTTATCTCCCTCATGATCTTCTTTTCATGTAAAATCCTCTCTGGTCAGTGCTCATTTCCATGTAGGAAATTGTGGAGGGGATTCTTGGAAGTTCTTTATCACAGCAGGAAACCTGCGCAGACAGCAGGAAACCAGGCTGCTGGGGCTTAAGAGATGAAATGGCTTTGGAAGGGTGTGGTCCCTGCTCCCTGCAGTGGCCTCTGTAGAGGCACTGGCATGAGCTGAATGTACAGGCCAGTGCGTGTGCAGGGTCTAAAAATCCCCAGACTCACACCGTCTCACATGCCTGTGTGCAGTAATTTCAGCTCTATGTGGACTGATGTGTCTGCACACTCCTACAGTGTTCTTTATCTACTAAGATGGGTGAGCCTGGAAATGTAATATATACAGACAATCATAAGTTTCTATTCACAAAGTTTACATTTTTTCCTTCTTTGTTAGGAACAGCGTTTACATTTTCTAAAGCAACAGGAGCGCCGCCAACAGCAGTCTATTTCTGAGAATGAAAAGCTTCAGAAATTGAAAGAACGAGTTGAAGCCCAGGAAAATAAGCTGAAGAAAATCCGTGCCATGAGAGGACAGGTCGACTACAGCAAAATTATGAACGGCAATCTGTGTATGTGCCTACAGCCCACTGTGTCCACGCTGCTAGGCTAAGTCAAGTGACACAGCCGTAGCTTGGCCGTTTCAGTCAGATGCCCATGTACATTTTGTGGTAGCAGTGTTCTGTTGCTTTACTCTAACCTGCAGCTCAGAGGAGGTGGTTAGTTAAGTGATTTTCGTTGTGGTGCTGATTTTGGAGACATGGTTGTAGCCCCAGCTGGCCTGGAACTTGCTATGTAGACCAGGCTGACCTTGATCTCATTGACCCCTCTGCTTTCTGAGTGCTGGGATTAAAGGTGTAGTTAATTATATCTTATTAAAATCAATTTCCTGGGGGTTTTCTTTTTTTTTGGTTTTTGGGGGGTTTGGGGGTTTGTTGGGGGTTTTTTTGTTGTTGTTGTATTTTCTTTTGAGACAGGGTCTCCCTGTAGCTCCAGCTGACATAGAACTCATTATGTAGAGCAGGCTGGACTCGAACTCACAGAGATCCGCCTGCCTCTGCCTCCTGAGTGCTGGAATTAAAGGTGTGCGCCACCATGCCTGGCCTAATTGTGTATATTTATAGAGTACAGTGTGATAATTTGACATCTGTGTTCAATGTATGATTATTTAGGAGAGTTCACATTTCTGTGTCCTTAAACTTTAAAAAAAAAATGATTAGCACAAGGCAGTTTTACATATTTATGGCATACAGTTTCGGAATAGCCCTAGTGAAACAGTCGGGAGGCCCTTCTGTCACACTGATCACAACAGTAAAGCTGCTCCTATGGTTGGCCGTAATGAGTGGTTTGTTTTTGTTGAACTATTTAAATTTTATCCATGGGTTAAGATAACCAGACAGGTGTGGTGGCATATGCCTGTAATCCCAGCCCTTGGGAGGCAGAGGCAGGAGGATTACCTGAAGCTTGAGGCCAGCCTAGACCACACAGCCAAGGATACAAAGGGTGATCCTGTCCCAATAAAAAAAAAACATCAAAAGCACATACATCAAAAGGCAGAGGCAGGCAGATCTCTGTGAGTTCAAGGCCAGCCTGGTCTACATAGTGAGTTCTAGGATAGCTGGGGCTACAGGGAGACCCTGTCTCAAAAAAAGACCCCCCCAAAAAAAATACATCATAACAGTACTCACTTTTGTTTCTGTGTGAACTGTTTGTTTTTTAATCAATTCAATTAATGTCTATTTGATGTTAGAACAATGAGCAAGACCTTCACAAAGCTTTGATTCTGCTGCTGCCTGAGGGTTCAAAGTACTGAGACCAAAGTAGTTTTTGGACTGTAAATAAGTACCCTAAAGAATATTCAATAACGGGCTGGAGACATGGCTCAGCGGTTAAGGACTCTGGCTGTTCTTGCAGAAGACCTGGGTTCGAATCCCAGCACCCACATGGCAGCTAACAGCTTTCCATAACTCCAGTTCGAGGGGATCTGACAGTCTCTTCTGTCCTCCCAAGGCGTTGCACAATATGGGTGCATTTACCTACATGCAGGCATAACACTCATACACATAAAATAAAAATAATAGGCCAGGCATGGTGACACACACCTTTAATCCCAGCACTCGGGAGGCAGAGGCAGGTAGATCTCTGTGAGTTCAAGGCCAGCCTGGTCTACATAGTGAGTTCCAGGACAGCTGGGGCTACAGGGAGACCCTGTCTCAAAAAAACCAAAAAAAAAAAAAAAAGTATTCAATAATGCAAGCATAGCTTTGTGAATACTCACATCCTGTTGACATAGGCTGGAGAAACAGATCAGCAGTTAGGACACTTAGCTGCTCTCACAGAGGACTTGGGTTCGATCACCAGCACCCACATGGTGGCTAACAGCCATCCATAACTCTAGTTCCAGAGGATCCAACACCTTCTGACGGATGCACTGACATACATGTAGGCAAAACACTCATACACATCAAATAAAAAAATAAATATTTATAAACAAACCTGTTGACATATGTTTTGGGGCTGGGTAGGGCATTTGCCTAGCAAATGTGGGGTCCCAGGGGCCTCCATCCCTAACACTTGCAAGAAAAAAACATGTGTTTTGGGTTATGCATACACTTTATCTTTTATTTTGTTATTATGAATCTATGTTAATCCAAAGCTAGTATTGGATTATAATAATAATATATATAACTAATACCAGCATTGCGAGCAGTGTATAGACATGAATACAGAATGTGTCAGTTACATAACTGCTTTCCTTTTTTTGGTGGGCAATTCCAGCTGCTGAAATAGAAAGGTTCAGTGCCATGTTTCAAGAGAAGAAGCAGGAAGTACAGACTGCCATCTTAAGAGTTGATCAGCTTAGTCAGCAGCTAGAAGATCTGAAGAAAGGAAAGCTGAACGGATTCCAGTCTTACAATGGCAAGTTGACAGGACCAGCTGCAGTGGAGCTAAAACGGCTGTACCAAGAACTGCAGGTAATGTGCCTGATCTGCAGAGTGGTCATATACAGATGTTCCTCCCTTCTGGCTTTCTCCTTGGTCCTAATAGGATGAATATTCAGACTCTGGAAACAAATGAACAGATTCTAATTTAATAGTGGCTCTGACCTCATCTAAACCTAAATGCCTCCAAAAGGCTCCACTCTAAATAACCTTCTTGGTGAGGGTTAGGGCCTCAGCCTAATTTAGTGGAGACAAAGCAGTCACATTTTATTCAATCCTTGAGATTTCCATTTCTCTAAAGTCACCTTTCAGCAAATGACTTTTTGAGCCAGAGACAAGATCATGACTTTATTAGCACTTGCTAAGAAAAGTACTGTATCATTTTATGAAATGAGGGTATTTAGCTACAGACAATAAGATCACTAAATCACTTGTTAATGTTACAATTTTAAGCAAATATTAGGTGTTCAGAATTTATAAGGATATTTTTGATGATGATTTTTTTATTATTTTTATTTTATGTGTATGCATATATTGCCTGCATGTAGGTAAGTGCACCCGTGTTGTGCAATGCCCACGGAGGACAGGAGAGACTGTCGGATCCCCTAGAACTGGAGTTATGGACAGTTGTTAGCTGCCATGTGGGTGCTGGGATTCGAACCCGGGTCTTCTGCAAGAACTCAGTCAGTGTTCTTAACTGCTGTGCTATCTCTTCAGCCCCAATGATGAATTTTAAGCAACTAAATTAAGTGTGCAGAATTTATAAGGATACTTTTGATGGAGTAGCTTTTCATTGATTTAGTTTTTATCAGTTGAGTCAGTTTGTTAGTGTGTTTAAAAAAATACCAGTTAGAATCCCCTAAAATGATATGAGTGCTTTATTTGGAATTTTAGGTTATCTTTGTGACCTTGATACCTCCATAGTAAGGCCCCTCATTCAGGTGACCTGGGGCTTGCCTCCTGGGTTCTGAGAGGGCTGCTGCAGGGGCTGTCCCTGGATGGTTGTCCCCAGATCACTAGGTTTGATTTCTGCTTTATCTCTCCATAAGATAAAACAAAAGGCACATGCCTTTAATCCCAGCACTCGGGAGGCAGAGGCAGGCAGATCTCTGTGAGTTCAAGGCCAGCCTGGTCTACATAATGAGTTCCAGGACAGCCCAGGCTACAGGGAGACCGTGTCTCAAAAAGACCAAAAAAATAAATAAATAAATAAAAGATGCCCATAGGAACTCTGTTCTGGGCTGGACATGGTCGTACATCCCTGTAATCCTAGCACTTGGGAAGCAGAAGCGAGAGAAGTATGAACTCAAGGCCAGCCTGAGTTACAGAGCAAGACCTGTCTCAAAAGCAGAGGCTGGGGATATCGATGTGCAGTAGAGTTCTTCCCTGGCATTATTTGTAAGGCTCTGGGTTTGATCTCCTGCACCAAAAATCAAGGAAATAAACAACACCTCTATACTGGTTTCACCTGTGTTGTACCTATAAACTACATACACAGGTGGCTGAGCACGCGTGTAAACACATCCAAACTTGGGGCTGCTCTGTTCTTTCCTCCCCTTCCCTTCTTTTCTTTTGTTTCCCTAGCAATGAGATTTAACTTTATAATTAATATAAATCTTTTTTTAAACTTTTAGAAATTGTTTTACTTTCTTAAAATAATGGGCATTCTATCCATAAATTCTATTTTCAATAAACAACTAGGAATTGCTGTTTCATTTTGTTTTGAGAAAACCCAATAAATACTAAAAGGCATTGAGATTCTTCTGTTTCTAGATCACTGCTAGATTGAGGATGAGTGAGGGTGAGCCTTGCTCTGCCCTCTACCACAGCTCAGAACTGTGTATTCTCCAAAGCAGAAATAAGGGCAACCCTTCTCCCCAACGTCCACAGCTGCCTATCAGAACAGTTAGACCACGTTGCCACGGCTCAACACGAAGCAGGAACTAGGAAAACCAAGATGCTGAGGTTGACACATAAGCTGTTAGTGCCTTGCCCCTTGTCTTCTATAACCTTAATAAGGGGACTGTTTTACCACAAAAAATTGTGTCACTAGCCATGAATTTTGGAATGAGTTACTATAAATGTTGCCTAGAGCCAGTCTACAAATGGGCCACACGTCCACAGTTCACTTCTGCATTTGCAAACAGAATTTTCATGATCTGTATAAGCACACCTTTCAGTGACAGTATGACACTGAGATGCACTCTGACATTGCATGATCTGATACTCAGTGGACTGTAGCCCAAGAAAGAAGGTCCTTAATCCCTTTTATTGAGTGCTCTTTTATAACAAAATCCAAAGGTGACTTTCAAATGTACATACAGAAATGATTACAGACCATGAGGTTTGGTTTGTTTGTTGAGGTAGGCTTCCATGTATCCAAGGTGGGCCTTGAATTTACTATCTGTGTAGCCAAGGCTAGCCTCAAATTCCCAATCCTCCAGCCTCCACCTCCCAAGCACTAGGATTGCAGGCATGAGCCACCATGCTCATGGACTCTCTTCACTGCATCAGTAGTTTTATTTCATAGCTCTTGCTGACATTTCATGGTTCCATTTTTACATTTTTCAAATTCAAATGCGTTGTCTACCATGAGGCCCTTACCTTCCTTTACTTGCTTTGGTTTTGGTCCACTTTATAAAGACCGCACCCTTTCTTTTTCTTTTCTTTTTTTTTTGGTCTTTTTGAGACAGGGTCTCCCCGGAGCCCCAGCTGTCTTGTAACTCACTATGTCAACCAGGCTGGCCTTGAACTCACAGAGATCCGCCTGCCTCTGCCTCCCAAATGCAGGGACTACAGGCGTGTGCCATCACGCCCAGCTAGATCACACAAAAGAGTTTTTGTCATTTGGGTTTATGGAATCTGGAACTCTGAAGTCACTGTTGATGAACATCACACTGTGGCCAAGGCCAACTGGCCCTGAAGAGACAGCACTTCTCAGTTTGTGTTTTGAACCTGTGTGGGACCCACCTGCCAGAAACCTGATAAGATGTAACCAATGAAAATCTTAAAAGTTGTGTTTTCTACTTTGCAGATTCGTAACCAGCTTAACCAGGAACAGAATTCCAAACTCCAGCAGCAGAAGGAACTCTTAAATAAGCGCAACATGGAGGTGGCCATGATGGACAAGCGAATCAATGAGCTGCGTGAACGTCTTTATGGAAAGAAAATTCAGGTATGTAAAGAATGTCTGTGAGCTAAACTATCAGTGGTTTTTGAAAGTACCCATTGTGGAGTGTCTGGTGGCACACTGAAGTCCTAGGACTTGGGAGGTTGAGGCAGGAAAATCCAACCTGGGCTACTACATAGTAATCAAGATCATGTCTCAAAAACCAGACATCAAAACCCATGAAAGTCCTCATCACTGGGTGGTGTCGTCTGCCATCCCTTCAAAATAGAGTAGAAGAAAATGTACTTTCCCAAGACTCAGCTCCTTCCTGGCCCATGGACTCAGAGCTCAACTTTCTACCTCCACGCTCCCTGTGATTTCCCTCTTCTATAGCTGTGAGGATGCAGGGCTTTGGAGTTGCAGCCCCTGGTTCGGTCCACGTTTTTTTGTTTGTTTTTTGTTTGGAACTCACTGTGTAGACCAGGCTGGCCCTGAACTCACAGAGATCCACCTGCCTCTGCCTCCCGAGTGCTGGTATTAAAGGTGTGTCCACCACACCCGGCTGGTCCACATTTTTACATTAGGGCAAAGTTCCAGGCCAGCTCTAACTATAGGAGATCCCTATCTTTGGGAATTGGCTCATGTTGCAGAGGCTGGCAGGTCTGAAACTTGCAATGTGGAGACCCAGTAGCTTGAGTACAGGCCATCTGCTGTAGAATCCCTTCTTCCAGGGCAACCTTAGTCTTTCTCTCTCAAGGCCTTGCACTGGTTACATGAGACCCATCTACCTTATGAAGTGCCTTACTCAAGAGTCCACTAAATGTTAATCCATTCTAAAAACTGCTTTCCTGGAAACATGTAGTGTTGGAGCACCTATCTGGGTACCATGGCTTAGCCAAGTTGCTGCATACAATTAACCATTAAAATCACAGGGGGCCTGGAGAGATGGCTCAGCACTTAAGAACACTGGTTGTTCTTGCAGAAGACCCATGTTCAAATCCCAGCACCCACATGGCAGCTAACAACCGTCCGTAACTCCAGTCCCAGGGGATCCAACAGCCTCTTCTGACCTCCATGGGCATTGCACGACACAGGTGCACTTACCAACATGCAGGTAATACATGCATATACTTCAATCAATCAATCAGTCAATCACAGGACCAATGAGAGAACTCATCAAGCAAATACTCTTACTGCCAAACCTGACAGCCTGAGTTCAATCCCTCGGACTTGTAGGGTAGAATGAAGCAAAGAAATAACTCCTGTGACAAGCTATCCTCTGACCTCCACATATGTTGTCACACACACACACACACACACACACACACACACGCGCGCGCGCGCGCGCACACTTTCTAAAAATGAGCCATCACAAGTGTCTAGATCTGTTATGCTGCTTCGGGGATCTCCTTGAAATCAGTGCCCTTGCGAAAATGTGACTCTACCAAAAGGTCTAGGTACTTCTAAGCATTTGTGGAGGTCGTGGGCCTTTTCCAGAACAAGGCATGATCCAGCATGCAGAATCTTGCAGGCAGTTGTAGGAGCCCATGGTTCTCCACTTAGAACCCTCCTAACTAGGAACCCTGAGGAGTCCCTGGTTCTCTAGTTAGAATCCTGCCACACATGCTTTGGATCTTGACCAGCATTATGTAGCCAGTATCTTCTGCCCAGTGTGTTGTTGCTGTGAAACCAGGACTGTCCTCAGAGGTGCAGGGTCTTGTCAGCAATAAGGCTTCACCTGAGCTCCTTGCCCTGCATCCTGACTATAGAGTAGGCACAGAGGTTCAGAGAGGTTAAGTCAGTAGCCTGAGGCAGCACAGTGAATAAATGACAGAGAAGGATTTGAAGCCATGCTCAGAGAACAGGCTTTGATCGGCACCTCTGTCCACACAGGGGAGGGAGAACATCCCCCAATAAGAGAGAGGTGCTTGTGCTGTCATCATGCCAGCTCCTTGTTTTTGTAGCTCACAAGTGGGCAGATGTCACTGGAGAGTGACTTCACAAGCTGTGGGTCAGACTCTTCTCTGAATGCTCCTCATCTATGTGCTGGTCAGTCCTTCAGGGTGAAGACTTTCCCAGGTTACAGCCACGAGTGGTTTATTTCTCTTCTAGTCTGATAGTCTCTCACCACTGAGGTTAGTTTTTCTTTTAAGAGAATCTTTTTTTTTTTTTGTATTTTTGAGACAGGGTCTCACTGTAGCTGGCCTGGAACTTGCTATGTAGACCAGATTGCCCTTGAACTCACAGAGATCTTCCTGCCTCTGCCTCCCAAGTGCTGGGATTAAAGGTATGCACCACCACTCCTGGCTTAAGAGAATCTTGACTCTGATTTCTTCCTGATTTGCAGCTGAACCGTGTGAATGGCACATCATCACCACAGTCACCCCTGAGCACGTCTGGTCGGGTTGCTGCTGTGGGTCCTTACATCCAGGTTCCCAGTGCTGGGAGCTATCCTATCCCAGGAGACCCTATAAAGCCTCTCACCATTGCCTCAAGTGCTGCCCACGGAAGATCCAAATCTGGTCAGTTCTCTGGTCCTTTCAGGAGAGTGTGTGGGAGGGGAGGGAAGCAACAGTACCCCCACCTCTGTACTAGACCCTTGCCCCAGCACTGCTTGAGGTACCTAGTCTCTGTAATAATGCCCCTGAAATAAGAACAAGCTCTCTTTACTGGTCTGAAGATCTCTACTGTGCCTTTTCAAAACACAAATGACAAATTACAAAGATGCACACAGCACAGGTTTGTTTCCCTGAGGACTGTAATTCTGCTCTCTGCCTCCCTGTAGACAGTGCTATAGCTGGTCTTTCTCTCCCCACTCAGCACCATCTTTATCAACCAGAAAAGCCTTTGTCAGATTATGGATGTGGCTGAGTGGTACAGCACTGGCCTCCAGGCCCTCAGTTTGTTCTCCAGCACCCAGAAAAGAAAAAAATCCACAAACCCTTTCTTTGGTCTTTACAGTTAGGCAGTGTGCTGACTCAGGCCCCCAGCATGGTATTCCATCAGTCACAGGGCTCTCCACATGGAAAGTGTGATTGTTTTTAAAACACTGATTAAGAATTCAGGGCTTGACAGGTTGTCAGGTGTGGTGGTACAAGCTTGTGATTTCAGTGCTCAAGAGGCAAAGGTAGAACGAGTGCTGCAAGTTCAAGACCAGCCTGGTCTGCCAAGCAAGTTCTAAATTACTCAGGGAGACCCTATGTTTTTTTAAAAAGGCAGGGCTTCCTTACAGTGAGGTTTGATGACTTGGCCTGGTTGTCTCCCTGCATTCACAGTCTGTGTCCTAGTATACTGACCTGTTCCTCTGTGAAAACGTTCTGTCAGGCACATATGTTTTAGTCTTTTTTCCTCAGGCTTAGTGACCTTCCTGTGCTGCCCTCTTATTGTGTGGTACCCACTGTTCACAGCCACAACACCTGCCTCTCAGGCACCTTCTGACTCCTGCGTAGGCACTTCCCCCACCCTCATGGGCCAGAACCAGACTCAGATCTCTTTATGGCTATGTCATAGCAGCCAAACAGGGTCTGTGTTCAGCTTGACCCCCTCCCTCCAGCATTCATTGGTAAGCAGTTGTTTATAGCGTGGACTCCCCTATCCATAGTAGGAGTGAAGGTGTGACTTTCAGTGGCAGAATAGCACAGCCAGCTCCTTTTTTGCTGACTTGAGCTTTTAAAACTTCCAAGCTGAGAACATTTCCTACTCTCCACTCCCTTCTCTATGGTTTTGTGCTATGCAGCCTCATTCCTTCCATTGTGGTTTAAAGCACAGGTTTCCTGTGTCAACCCCAGCTGGGGGCATCATCTTAGACTTGGAGATAGGATGAGAAATCCTTCTGATAGGGACTCGGACTCTTTGTTGTTGGCTATCCTGGTTCTGTGTCACACAGATGACTACAGTAGACACAGAGTGACCAGCACATGCACAGTGTCAGATCTGGACGTCGGGCCTGACTGTGACTCCTTACGGCACTCTGCAAGCCCACTTATGAACTGTGTGTCAGCTGACAGGCCTGGTGGTTCATTTTTGATCTATAACACAGACAGAATCAGTAATCATTTGTTTTTCCAAACTGATGGAAGGCTATTCATCAAACTTGGACTTGAAAACAGTACCGTGCCAGTATACCTGCCCCTTCCAACCCAGTTGTGGAATTGGGGGTGGGGGCCCATTCATAATCATCCACAGAAATGGTGGGTACCATTTGGCTGGCATAGCAAAAGTTCTGTTTTCAGGGGGGTAGGGTGAGCTTGTTTTTCAAAAATTAAGATGAACTGTAGGGCATAGTGGCACACTGGGAGGCTGAGGCAGGATAGGCTTTAAGCCAGCCTAGGCTACATAGAGACTCTGTCTCATAAATAAATAAAAGTGAAAGTGATTTTTCTGAGATATTTATGAAGCCTATTTCTCATCATAATTGAAGGTAAAAATTGTCCTTTGTATTGTAATAAAAATAAGTGGCCTTCCCTGGACACCTATTTTGTCCTAAAGAAAGGAACAGGCTCTCAGTTCAGTCCTCCCACAGCTCTTTTGCATAAAACTTCCTATTACTCTAGGATTTGGGAAGCCACTGAGCAGCCATTCTCCCAGTGAACCTGAGAGAGGACAGAAAATGCAGTTCCTCAGCACACTGCCCATGCATGGGCCTCCAGTGCCTTTTTCAGTCAGTTGGGTTTTCACCATGGCGTCTCTAGTGAGTTTCTTAGTGCCCACACGTACTCCCAGGAATCCAAGATTTAACTGAAAGGGAGTGAAAGCTTGTAGCCAGGAGGCTGACAGGCCATGTGGAGCAAGATGATAGTTTGTCCTGGGCCCTAGCACTGTGTTGGAACTGTGCAGCTCAGAGTGACAGCATTGTAGTCACTGAATGGCGGGCACCATAGTGAGTGCACCCTGGCTGCAGTGCTGCTGCCACAGCACGTCAAGTCGGTTCAGGAGCAGGACTTGAGTGCCACAAACCAAGCAGAGCACCCAGAGCAGCTCCTCCCCTAAGCATGTACCACTGTCCCTGCAGGTTCTGCAGAACATCCTGGACACCTTACACTTGTTTTATAAGTTGAACATTGTTCAACATTTTGATAACAAGTGACTTCCCTGCTGCTGCTTAGTTATCCTGCCTGAGCTAATTCCTGTCCATGTCTAGCCTCCGTGGGGCTAGAAGTGGACCAGTCAGGGCAGCTCAGCACCTGTGCCTGTGAAAGAGAAGCAGGGGCCCATCTCACCATCACAGCAGAATGTTAACTGCTGCTTCTCCTAATCAGAGGGAACGTGTACTGGCCTCTCATGCAAATCAAATCTATTATGAAGTCAAATGATAAGCCTTTTCATACTGCTACATTGTTTTTATAAATGGGGTCTGAAAAATAAGTGCTTGCTGTATTGTGCTGTGGCTTTAATGGACTTGACCTGTACTTCAGTGTGATGCAGCCCTGTGCTGCACAGCCGAGCATTGCGATGTCGTTGAGTGCTGTCCACAGTGGCCAGGAGGTGCTGGCTAAGATCACTCCTTGGGCTTACGCATGGGTCTGTGTTTTCGAGCAAATTCCTAAGCATACAGGTGGTGGTCAGCCGCTTGCTTGGCTGATGGGAGTCCCAGCACTGTATTTGTTTTTGGCAAGATACTGTTATTAGGTTGGTTCAACTAATTTCAATAAAAATTTTACATACATTCCATGTTCTTTTCAAGCCAATGATGGAAACTGGCCAACATTAAAGCCAAGTTCTGGTTCTTCAGTGAAGTCAGCTCAGATGGCCAGTGCAGACTGGAAGGACTTGGGCATGGAGGGAGCCCTCAAGCAGGGGGCCATCTCAAGCCAGCCATTGCCCTTATCAGCTCTGGGAGCTACAGAGAAGCTGGTAGGTCATCTGGCTTCACCACAGAGCCCCAATGCATTCCCCTCTGCCTTAATCTTCAGCTTAAGATTGGGTGCGAGATGTCTTGGCAGTAAATTAGTCCTGTTAGTGCCTACCTTATCCCCAGAATCCTAAAAGGCTACTGGGCCTCCGGGCATGAGTATGCCCAGTAGACAAGATGGCAAGCCCATTGGTACCCCCTGTGTCACTAGCCCATTAAAGGCTTCCAAATCCTGCTGTGTTCTGTTGTAAATAGATAGGATATATGCCTAACCTTTCCAAGAGTAACCTGTGTTTTCTTCTTAACACCTAAATTTAGGGCATCGAGATTGGTAAAGGGCCACCGCCCATCCCAGGTGTAGGCAAGCCACTGCCGCCAAGTTATGGGACATACCCAAGTCCTACACCTCTGGGCCCAGGGTCGACAAGCTCCCTGGAGAGGAGGAAAGAAGGCAGCTTGCCCAGACCTGGTGCAGGCCCAAGTCGGCAAAAACCTGCTCCGCTGCCTCCAGCAGGCAGTGCCCCCCAGCCTGGCTCCTCGCAGCAGATTCAGCAGAGAATTTCAGTACCACCAAGTCCCACGTACCCACCGGCAGGGCCACCTGCATTTCCAGCTGGAGATGGAAAACCTGAGTTTCCACTGACTGTGGCCATTAGGCCTTTTCTAGCTGATAAAGGGTCAAGGCCACAGTCTCCCAGGAAAGGACCCCAGACAGTAAATTCAAGTTCCATATATTCCATGTACCTCCAGCAAGCCACACCACCTAAGAATTACCAGCCGGCAGTGCATGGCACCCTAAATAAGTCAGTTAAAGCAGGTATGTTGAGTATATACTCTTGGGAATGGAAGTTACCCTTAATTAGAATCCCTGTCACTACATGCTACTTAGGGTAAGACATAACTCTTACATAAAGTATAGGGTGTTAGTTTGGGATGGCAATAAAAGATGAAATGCACAGAGCTCTCACTTCCTGCTTGAGGATCCACCTCCCTGTTGCACTTAGTAAACCTGTACATCACCAGAAGGATGAAGTTGCTGGAGTTTCCATTTTTCTCCTCCTTCATGGTAACTTGTATGATTCAAAGATCAGGGGTGGATCTTGACTTTTGGCTCTCTGGGTCTGCTGGTCATTGCTAAGCCAGAGCCCTGGCATGGGCAGTGTGAGGCGCTGCAGGGAAGACAGCCTGGAGTGCATAGTGGGGCAGAGGCCTTCTAGGAAGGCAAATGTGAAGATGCAGCTGAGTTCCACACCCCCGTGGAAGCTGAAGGGTTTCTTACCCTGGCTAGAGGACTCTGTGGGCCAGGTTAGGGCTGCAGCCTCCTCAGACTTTCTTAGGTAGTGGCTGCAGCATCTAGACTTTTAGTTCAGGGATTCCTGGGTGTATCTGGGCATCACCGGCCAAGGACCTCTCAGGGGGTGTTTTGTTACCTGTGGGCAGAAATCTGACCATCGGAGAAGCTCCTGGACCACAGGTCAAACCCATCCTGCTCCAGAGAGGCAACTGTCTTCCTGTTGCCTGAGTTAGTCCCAGGCACTGATGCAAATTTTTTGATTTTGGTATTTTCCTTGGCCAGGAAACAAACCGGGCTTGATTAAAATAGGGAAACTCAGGTCAGCAACCTTTTCTTCTTTTGAAAGAGCCCAGTTTTGGAATCCAAATATAAAACCTGATTCACTAGAACGAGTCAGTGGAGGGTTTTGGAAAAGGTTTGCTGGGGATTCAAAAAAATCAAAACTGAGGAGCAACAGCAGTCCTTGTCTCATGGAGTCAGTGCCAGGGAGCAGCCCTGTACCGCAGCCAGGTTGAAGTGGTTCTCTCCTTTGTTTCTTCTCCAGTATATGGTAAACCTGTCCTACCATCAGGGTCAGCATCTCCATCACCCTTACCATTTCTTCATGGGTCACTGGGCACAGGCACGACACAGCCTCAGCCACCTTCAGAATGTGCTGAAAAAGAGCCAGAGCAGGAAGGGCCCGCTGCACCGGGAGAAGGCGGTACAGTGGAGAGCCTGCCGCGGCCGCTAAGCCCCACCAAGCTCACGCCCATTGTGCACTCACCACTTCGCTATCAGAGCGATGCCGACCTAGAGGCTCTTCGCAGGAAGCTGGCCAATGCGCCCCGGCCTCTGAAGAAGCGCAGCTCCATCACAGAGCCAGAGGGCCCCGGAGGGCCCAATATCCAAAAGCTGCTGTATCAGCGCTTTAATACCCTGGCTGGTGGCATGGAGGGTACTCCTTTCTACCAGCCCAGCCCGTCACAGGATTTTGTGGGCACCTTAGCGGATGTGGACAATGGAAATACCAATGCCAATGGCAACCTGGATGACTCTACCCCTGCCCAGCCCACAGCCCCACTCCCTGATGAGCCTGCCCCATCCTCAGATGCCAACGATAATGAGTTACCATCTCCTGAGCCAGAGGAGCTCATTTGTCCCCAAACCACTCGTCAGGCTGCGGAACCTGCTGAGGACAACAACAACAACGTGGCTGCAGTGCCGTCCACGGAACAGGTCCCAAGTCCTCTAGCTGAGGTTCCGTCTCCAGGAGAGGAACCGCTCCCTCCGGCACCTCTTCCCCCTGTCATCCATCCTCCAGCAGCCTCTGCGGTGGGTACCCTTACGAGACCAAAGCCAGGTGTGCCCCTGCCATGGAAAATCAGGCCCGGGTAGAGAGTTAGTAGTCAGATGATCACACAGGCCAAGGGGCCCAAAGAAGAGTACATAGTACCCTGGTGAGCATCTGAAACCTGGAGGACAGGCAGACAGAGGGAAACACCTAGACCCCCTGGGGGAGGTCACTGTTGACACAGCAGCGAGGCTAGGCCATCCTGATATCCTCAACAAGGCTTTCTTGGTGGGCTCTCTGGACCACCATTGAAAGAGTCCTGTGGCATGTCAGTAAAGACTAGCTTCTGACTCCATCAGGGCTGGCAGTTCATCAGTACAGCCATCCCCACACTCCCTCCTACAGTCTTCTAAGAAGGAGTAGCCATTCTCCGTCTGAGGGATGCCCTTTACATAGGCCTGTCCCTCATGGGACAGCCACCAGAGTTGCTCTTGAACCACTGCCTTCGGGCTTAGTTCTCGCCACTCCTTCCCTAGGAAGAGGTCTTGGACTGGTCCTTGCCTTGCACAGCTCTAGACACTGAAACCATACTTCCCTACAGAGCAAACGAACCAACCTGAAGAAGCCTAACTCAGAACGGACGGGGCATGGGCTGAGAGTGCGCTTCAACCCCCTGGCACTGCTTCTAGATGCTTCTCTGGAAGGAGAGTTTGATTTAGTGCAGAGGATCATTTATGAGGTGAGCCACACTCCCATTATGTACTGCTGAGAGCTGGAGACTGTCGCTCACATGCCCTGTGTCCTAGGTGGAGGACCCCAGCAAACCCAACGATGAAGGGATCACTCCCCTGCATAACGCTGTCTGTGCCGGCCACCATCACATCGTGAAGTTCCTGCTGGACTTTGGTGTCAACGTGAATGCTGCTGACAGTGATGGATGGTGAGAACCCAGTGGGGTGGGGCTCAGAAATGTACTTTTCCTACCTTAAAAAGGAAAGCTTGCATGTTCTAGAAAACTGGAAGGCACACAAGAGGAAGCGTACCCCATCATTCCATCCCAGACTGCTGTATCTCTTACTTTTCTCCTGTTACAGACATAATTGTTTACACTCTTCCTGTGCCCTGCTAGCATTGTAACTAAAGCAGTGTATTCATTTGCTCTTCCTCTTTGCTGACGTTCTACATGAAATACATGAGTTCCATAGAAATTCTACATGAAAAGCAACTTCAGAAGACTTTGTTGGATGTTAGCTGTTTGCGAATGTTTTCATTTGATTTCAGGATCAGGGCTCTGCTGTAGGATTGTTTATTATAGATACTTCAGATTCTCTTACCTTTTTTTTTAATTGTACTAAAATACACACAAGATTAACCATTTGGGTCTAGGAAGATGGCTCATTGGATAAAGTGCTTGCTGTATAGACATGAGGTCCTGAGTTCAGATTCCCAATGCCCACATACAAGCCAGTATAGCCGGGCGTGGTGGCGCACGCCTTTAATCCTAGCATTCGGGAGGCAGAGGCAGGCAGATCTCTGTGAGTTCAAGACTAGCCTGGTCTACGTATCAAGTTCTAGGACAGCTGGGGCTATAGGGAGACCCTGTCTCAAAAAAGACCAAAATAATAATAATAATAATAATAAAAGCCAGTGTAGTGGCATATATCTATAACCCCAGCACTGGGGGCAAGAGACAGCGGATCCCAGGAGCTCACTAGCCAGCTAGTCTAATCAAAACAGCAAGCTCTGGGTTTAGCAAGAAACTGTCTCAAAAAATAGAGTGGAAAAGCAATTGAGGAAGACATCCCAGTATCAACCTTTGGCCTCCACATACACCCGCATAGATGAGCATACAGTACACACATGGGTGTACACATACAGATATGCACACACACAATTACTAACTTGGCCATTTATAAATGTACATTTGCATGTGTTATATGTGAGCATCTATCTATAGGCCACTACTTAATCTACACCTTGTCCCCCTTTCCCAAAGATTTATGCATAGTCTAAAACAAATTGTAGAAATCATGTGTTTAAAAACTAGAAACTTAGACAGGCATGGTGGCGCACACCTTTAATCCCAGCACTTGGGAGGTAGAGTCAGGCAGATCTCTCTGAGTTCCAGGCCAGCCTGGTCTACATAGTGAGTTCTAGGACAGCTGGGGCTACAGGGAGACCCTGTCTCAGAAAGACAAAAAACTAGAAACTTGCCTGACACAAAGGTGTGGCACCTTCCTCAGAATTTCTCAGAGGTATATGCAGAAGCCAGGTGGCCAACTACACATTTTCACTCTGGTTCTAGGACACCACTGCACTGTGCTGCCTCCTGCAACAGTGTCCACCTCTGCAAGCAGCTGGTGGAAAGCGGAGCCGCCATCTTTGCCTCCACCATCAGTGACATTGAGACTGCTGCTGACAAATGTGAAGAGATGGAGGAGGGCTACATCCAGTGCTCCCAGTTTCTCTATGGTATGTCGTGGGGGTGGGGGGCTTCAGCTGCTTCTGAACCATGTGCTGGCCTGCAGTTGGGCTCAGTGCATCATGTTTAAGGCCTCACTCCTTTACACTCACTCTGCAGACACATCTGAAAATCTCTTCTGTATCTGGGTGGTGAAACCTATAGTCCCAGCACTTGGAAAGCGAGGTAGGAGGATCATAAGCTCAGGGCCAGCCTGGGCTACGTAATAAGATCCTGTCTTAAACAAAAACAACAAAAATCATGTTAGAAGGATTCTGTGCCAGGTTGCAAGAATCCCCTTGCTGCTTTATATACATGGCGCCTTGGGGACAGAGGAGTGGGAGAGATGCATGACCAGGCAGGCTGCATCGATCTCTGGACTGTGGCTGACAGTACACAGGAGTTGAAGCAGGGCTGCTTCATCCCTGTGCTGGCCTGTTACCTGGTCAGTGACGTGCACGTCCTAATTAAGCTGCTGTAGCCAGAGTCAGATTTTTACTCTATTCTAATATTTTATTCATTTCTATTTCATGTGTTTGAGTGTTTTGCCTGCATGTATGTAAGTGCATCCACGTGTACAGTGCCTGTGAAGGCCAGAAAAGGGTGTCAGATTCCCTGGAATGGAGTTACTGATGGTTGTTAACTGTGTGGGTGCTGGGAACTGGTCCTGTGGAAGAACAGGATGTGCTCTTGACCACTGAGCCATCTCTCCAGCCTCCAGCGACAGATTTTCTAAGAGCCCAACCATGCCCTCTATTAACAGTCACAAGTCACTTGTCCCACACATAACTTGAGATGCTACTGTGTGTCCGGCACTGTTAGACCCAGAGGTGCAGTGATAAACAGCCAAGCCACACAGCCTGCACTAAGCTTCACAACAGCCAGACCAGAAAGTTCTTGGGCATTAGTGGGGCTGGGCAAATCTAGCCTATGTAGGTACCCCCACCGCTGAGGGAGCATGGCTTCTTCTCATCAGTGACCTCCCAGGTCTCTGGAAGTCACAGGGCACTGAGTGACTTTGCATATGATATGAGATGATATGATCGCTCAGCAGCCCAGGTACAAGCCATGTGTGCAGCTGGTCTGCAGGTACTCAGCAGCAGTCACGGCTCCTCATCTAGTGACTGCTGCGTTTGTTCTAGGGCCAGGTTTAGAAACACCTTTACCTCTGCTGGCTGAGGTTACAGACCAGGGCTACTCTTCCCAATGCTTCCCCAGGCCCAAGCTGCCCTTGGCTTTGTGTATACAACCCTATGCTTCTGCAAGACCGTAAGTACAGTCAGTCTTCCATATTCATAATTGTGCACCTGTGGATTCTACCAATTGCAGAAGGAAATATTTGAGGGGAAAAAATATGAACTGTCAGGATGGTTCAGTAGGTTGCTGTGTAAGTCTGATGACCAGAGTCTGATCCTGGAACTCATGTAGAGAGAACTGACTCCATAAATTGTCCTGGGACCTTCACATGTGTGCTATGGCATACATGTGCAACACACACACAGACCCACACACAGTAACAAAAGTTGTTAAAAATGTATCTGTACAGCTGGGTGTGGTGGTGCACACCTTTAATCCCAGCACTGGGAGGCAGAGGCAGGCGGATCTCTCTGAGTTCAAGGCCAGCCTGGTCTACATAGTGAGTTCCGGGACAGCTGGGGCTACAGGGAGACCCTGACTCAAAAAAACAAAAAATGTATCTGTACTATGACTTTTGCTTGCTACTCATGGCAGTGTAGCGTATCAACTGTTTAGAGTATTAACCTGGTGTGTTATGTCACAGAGCTCATTGAGAGATGTTGGAGAGAATGTAAGCTCTGTGTAGACACCATGCCATCTGTCAGAGGGACCAGAGCATCTTAAGGATTTTGGTATCTGCAGGGTCCAGGAACCCATTCCTGCGTGTCACAAGGACCAACTGTACTTTCTCGTAGGGAAGAGCAAGGGCTGTGTGCATGAAGCTGTGGGGCAGCAGTCTGAGGAAACATTGGGTAGAGTGGCACTGGACTGTAACCACAGCCTTAGGCCAGAGCATGCCTTTTTCTTTAGTGGGCATCCTCCTTCCTGAGGAGCTGTTGTCAGGGCAGCCAGCAACAGGTTTTCAGTGTTAGGAAGTGTAGTAAAAGTGGGGTCAGAGCCTCTGGGTCTCAGTAGAGTAGACAGCTGAGGTTAGGGCTGACAGCACCTTCTGGGTAGTGACGAGGTGCCATCCCTTTGCCCTAATCCCTGGCACCTCTGCTAAAGTCTGACTGTTGCTTTCTGGTCCTAGGGGTGCAAGAGAAGCTGGGAGTAATGAACAAAGGTATTGTGTATGCCTTGTGGGACTACGAGGCCCAGAACAACGATGAGCTGTCCTTCCACGAAGGGGATGCCATCACCATCCTGAGGCGCAAAGATGAAAGCGAGACTGAATGGTGGTGGGCTCGTCTTGGGGACCGCGAGGGTTATGTGCCCAAAAACCTGCTGGGGGTAAGCACACACCACTTTCAGAGGTTAAGTACTAGGAAGCCAGCTGGTCTTGTTTATCTGTGCAGAAGTCACAAGAGACTCAACCAAGTCCAGTTCTCCTGACTTCAGGATGGAGACAGAACACCTTTCTCCAAGTCCAGCAATCTGCTCTAGACAAGCCCAATTTGCAGAGTGGGGGAAGCACGAGGCTCAGGCAGAGCCCTGGAGGTGCCTGCCTATCCTATATTCTAGGAGCAGCTGGAGCATGTGGAGGCTGAGAAACCATTAGGGGCACCTCAGTATGCTGCACTCATGGGGAACTTTGGCAAGCCTGGGGCCACCCCACATAGCTGACTAGAATTCTCCAGAGCAGGGTATAGTGCTGTACACTGTGATCCTAGCCCTTGGAATGCTAGGTAGGAGGATCAAAAGTTCAGTGTCAGCCTGATTGCTCAAAAACACAGCCTCCAGGAGGCAGAGGTAGACATGCATCTCTGGGTGGAGGCCAGCCTGGTCTACATAGGAAGTTCCAGGCCAGCCAGAGTTCCAGTCTCTAAATAAATAAACAAGATCTCTAAAGGAGACCTGGGGGTGGGACTCACATTCACTGTGGCCTGTCCTGACAAGACAGGCTGCCTCTCATTCTGGACTCTTCATGTGCCATGGCGAAGCTGGCAGATGCTCCCCATTCACTTGGCAAACGTTCCCAGACATTGTGGACCTGCCAGACCTTCCCGAGGAGCTGTTGTCAAGGTAGCCGGCCACAGGTTTTCAGTGTTAAGAAGTGTAGTGAAAGTGGGGGCAGAGTGGACAGCTGAGGTTAGGGCTGACAGAGCGCCTTCTGGGTAGTGACGAGGTGCCATCTCTTTGCCCTAATCCGTGTCTATTGCTTCTCAGTTGTATCCACGTATCAAGCCCCGGCAACGAACACTCGCCTGAACTTCCACTGGAGTACCACAGTCTCACTGGCTCCCAGGAGCCACTGGAGATGATTCTGCTGCCCCAGGAAAGCTAAAGCTAGGACGGTCTAATGGTGCTCACTTTAGCAGACCATCCACAATGTGAACCCTGTACCTCCCAGTGAGGCCCTTCTCCAGTTTGCAGGAACTGGCAGAGGTACTTTTGCCAACAACTGTAAATCCAAATACCCAGCTTCCAAGACACCCACCCCTGTTGCCAGTAAGAAGTCCTGTAATTATCATGGCCCCACCCCCAACAGTTGCCCATGAAGACAAAGCTCTGACTGACCACCTCTCATATCAGTTATCTCCCACCTTCAACAAAGTAGGCTGCTACCAGGTGGCTCTTGGTTATCTCCCTGCTCTCCTCGAAGAGTCTCAGAAACCAGTGTCTTTTCTTCACATTCTCCACACAGGATCTCCCTTCCTTTCACACCAAAGGAGCCCATTTGGAAACTGTCCAGTGTAGCTGTCCTGTGTGGGCAATGTAGTGTTTTGCTACCTGCTGGCCCTGTGCTGTGGCTGGCCGTCCATGCCGCAGCACAAAGGGTCCTCTGATCCCACGGCCTCCGGCTACAGTGTGACTTTTATCCCCTGACGGTTTGAGTTTATTTCTACTTCAGTGCAGTTAAGACACTGGAGTCTGGGCAACAGTGAGTCACAGTTTGGCTCGGGCTGAGCAGACCTCAGTTCAGGAACGCCACCCCGACAGACTAGGATGCCATTTCCGAGTGAGGCAGGCTATTTACCCTGGAGCGTGAATTGTGTAGACAGGCTTTTTTTATTTTTCAACTAGACCATTCAAAACTACCAGAGTTGTGTTGGAAATTCTTCTCCTCATAAGACACAGGCCTGTAGGCTTTATTTTTCATGTGAATCTTGTGCATAACTGTATAGATCCATGTGTAGACTCTCAGACAGTGCTGCAGTCAGCCATCAAACACTGACTGACCAGGGTGGCACCAAGGTGATGCCCTGTGGAGCAGCCTCTGCCATTCCACCACTGATGCTGTGTAATGTGCACAATAAACTGCTGTCTCACAGCCGACTGAGTTGTGTGTTCTGGACGCAGGATACCTAGGGTACAGACACTCAGGACATCTGCACACAGGCCAGAGCCTGGTGCATACTTTCAAAATAGGTTTTAATCATATACTTCATATACAAATTATACAGTCAATAAAGTGAAACTGTAAGTGAAAAGTAGAAAACACAAAGCTGGTGCCTTCCCCTTGGTGAAGTATCAAAAGGGTTGTTCATTACCATGTAAAGTAGAAAACACAAAGCTGGTGCCTTCCCCTTGGTGAAGTATCAAAAGGGTTGTTCATTACCATGTATTAGTGACAGAGTGAATGGAGAGGCTAAGGCAGACGTCGTCAACTGGCTATTAAAGAGGGGCAGGGCTCAACGCAAACTCAGAGGCCTGAGTGATCATCCAACCTGCTTCTGTGGGAACAAGGCCAGAACTTTCTCGTGGACCTGGGAACTCCTAGCAACGTGGGTTATAGAACCTGGTCAGCAGTAGTGTAGTGCAGCGTCTCCCACCCCAGTGGGTACCAACAATACACTAGCACAGGAGGCTGTGCCAAGCATTACTAAACTGTGTGATTTAGTATTACCGTATTGCACTAGGCGAGTGAACACTGTGCTTGATACTCTGCTTCCAGGTACTTGACCTGCATTTCCACGCACAAGCAGGGCAAAGCCCTGAGTGCTCCGGCAGGGCCAAGAGCTTGGACTTGATGTGCTGTGAGCTCAGTTCACTTGTTACAGTTACTGGTCTCGTGATTCATAGAGGAGCCTGGTAGCCTGCAGAACAGCATAAAGCATGATTGGTCCTGGGCCTGATCACAGATGCTCTATATACCTTTTAGGGATGCAGTTATGGGCACCCCAGTTAGATGGCAGATCTGAGAAAGCAAGCTTGTCTGTCAGTCTGTGGTCCAACCTCCCTTGCCTTGTCCATGGTACGTACCTTGTGCATGGCTGCCAGCCACGCTGCTGCCTGCCTCCTGCTGCCATTTGCATCCTCCCCAGCCATCAGCTTCAACTGGGTTGTACCCTCTGCTCCTGGCACTGTGTACTGCAGGAACATGCCTGTGGCTCGAGTGCTGCCTGCTGGAGAAGGAAATGACATCAGGTGGCATATACATATACTGTGTACTACTCAGGAAGTAGCCTTGTTGGGAACACGCAGTAATATGAGCTCCTGCGTCTACAGAGACTCCCAAGTTCATAGGAAGTGGGAAAGGAATCACATGACGTCGGCTTGGTGTCCCCAGGACCAGAAGAGCTAATGGTGCCATATCACTAAGCCTCACAGCCCGATTGTCCAGAAACTGCCACACCTTCTACATCTGTGGCATCCCCACTGTGCTGCCTTCAGGACACCCTGCCCCAGACACTTGTCCACAGCCAGAGTAGTGAACATACGGAAACCATCAGTGTCCTGGCCATCAGAAGATAAGCCAAGCAGATAGTCACATGTAAGCTGGCTTCACATCTAGAGGCCAGAGCTGTGCAGACCACTGATGCATGAGAAATGCCCCCCTACCCTGTCAAGTACCAGTCTTCCAGACCTCACAGGATCCCATGAAGTTTCATGTTGGGGGTCAGCCTGCCAGGTCACAGCCCCATCTCTGGGCAGTGGCCAGCTGTCCCAAGCACAGTAACTTGAGTTTAGCTTCTCCTTTAGGAACAAACTGCTTGAGAAATAGACCAGCTCTCAGTCAGGGCCACTGTGAAGCCTTGCATGAGCACCCATGACCAGAAGGAACCATATCAGACACAGTCCTGAATCACTCAAAACAGGCTGAGTCCCACTGGTCAGTGAGGTGACTCTGCAGAATGTAGCCAGGAAAAGTCTGACTGACTCATCTGCAAGACCTGTCTGTACTGCTGAGAGCATGCTGGGTCCACCCCGAGGCTTTCTGAACCGTATTCTACTTCAGAAGCCCAGGAGCCTAATTAGAGACCAGTCAAGCTGCCATACCAGGCTGCTACAGAATTTTCCACCTGGGCTGTGTCCACCACCTGGTTGTCCACGGCCACTGTTGTCTGGCTGTTTTTGTGCTTTATGTGGCCATGAAAAATTTATTCTCCGTTCTGGACAGCATAGTGTTCAGCCCTTGCTATATATAGATGGCCCAGGCCAGTCCACAGCTCCTGAGGCTCCTTCCCTCTCTGAACAGTTCATACTGTTCCTACTCCAACCCACTCAAGAAGACAGTTCTGAGATCTCAAGGAGTCTAAGGAAACACTGAGTAAAACAGGGGTCACTACTTTCTGGGCATAGTGGCGCATGCCTTTAATTCCAGCACTCAGAAGGCAGAGGCAGGCAGATCTCTGAGTTCAAGGCCAGCCTGGTCTACATACTGAGTTCCAGGCCAGCTGGAGCTATAGGAAGACCCTGTCTCAAAAAGACCGAAAAAAAAAAAAAAAGGTCACTACTAAAGTCATTCCTGGACACACATGCAGTACCAGCAACTCCAAAGAAAGGCTGTGCATAGTCAACAGGATCCAGCTCTTACAGGTCATCCCTATGCTGGGTACCATCTCCTTGGCCTTGCAGGGAGGGTAATTCAATGAAACCTTTTTTTTTTTTGGAGACAGGGTCTCCCTGTAGTGCCAGCTGTCCTAGAACTCACTATGTAGACCATGCTGGCCTTGTACTCACAGAGATCCATCTGCCTCTCCCTTCCAGATAGGAGAGGTAGGTAGGGAGACACCTAAGCTGACCCCCAGCTTCTCACATCCTACTCTTGGCACTAGCTTGGTGCTCCATGTACCTCCCTGTGTTGTATACCATTAGCTGGGCCCCTCTTACTATACTCTTCAGGAGACTGAGATGGAGATGCTGAGGGCCAAGGGACCCTGGAGCCCACCGTGAGCAGGAGGCAGGCTGTCAGGGTCAGCAATGAAAGAAAGCTGCTGCCCACTCCACATGCCTGATGCCTGGCAGACAGGGTTACCCTCACACCTGGCCTCAGCCTATTGAGGACTGAAAGACACTGATAGAAACTGTCAACTCTTGAGTAATTCTTCTCCCTAGGAGAGAACTGAGCAATTCACTTGGTTCTCACAGTATATTTTCACTTATGCTTTATAGACCAAAATACAGGGCTTAGTATCTCTCTTTCTTAACCAAAAGAGGTGATCCTGAGTTTCAGAACCCTGGCACGGACCACCCCAGGAACAGCAGCAAAGAAAGGGCCCAGAGAAGGAGCCAGAACCATAGCATGCCAAGGGGTGGCCCAGGGAAGAGGAGGCTGACCTTCAGAGGCGGGCTGGCTCCCCAGGAGGCACGTGTAAATGTGAATGTCCTTTTCTACTTCAGGAAGGTAGGCAGCAGTGGAAAGAAGAAACAAGCAGAGCCAGTCAGAAAATGGCAAGAAGATGCCTTAGGTCAGGGCTGCAGGTTCAGCACGTGTAGTGTACAGTGCAACCAACAAGGTCCAGGTGCGCCAAGGCTGAAGGAGCTGTACAAGGCCCTTGCTGTACAGATGCCTTCGGGGGAGGCAATGACAGCAGGCCTGAATGCTGGCTCCTGATCAGCCACGACTCCAAACCTTGTCTAAAACCTCAGGCATCACGTCTGGAGCATCATCCAATAGTGAGAGCTCTATGTCATGGGAAACCAAGGACACATCAGGCCAGTCTCCAATCACTACCCCTCCACTCACCTGGCAGGTTCTAAAGCCACTGATAGGACACAAGCCCCAAAGAAGAGGAAAGTAGGTCATCCTGGGGCCAAGTGTGCTACCTCCTGTTCCCCACACATATACCAGACCCTCCTGCTCAGGAAAAACAGCCATGTACCTCCAGCAGTGAATCCTTCTGTAAGAATCTGCACGGTACAGACGTGTGCAATCTCGATTTCACAGTGGCTATCTCCATCCAGAATCAAGCATCTATACCAAACAGTAAGGGGATAGTCATCAGACCTGAGACCTACAGCCTGTGACAGCACGTCCAGTGCCAAGCAGGATTCTGGCTTTTACCTCTGGTTGTTGGAAAGTCGACAGACCATGGTTTCAGACTTTTCTGAGTTTCCGAAAGTTACCAGGAAGGTGGCTCCTTGGAAGACAAAACCAAATGCACACACATCACCTGACGCTTTAACACCCCGACCCCGACCCCGACCCTTCCCTAGGCTGAGGGCATGAAAGCCTTCTCCATCACCAGATGAGAGAGGACACAAACAGGTGACAGCTCTGTGCTCAGGGTGCCTTCAGTTGAGCAAAAACCAGTAATGGATTAGGGGTTTCAAAAGTTCAAAAGGGCCAGGTGTGGTGGCGCACACCTTTAGTCCCAGCACTCAGGAGGCAGAGGCAGGCAGATCTCTGTGAGTTCAAGGCCAGCCTGGTCTACAAAGTGAGTTCCGGGACAGGTGGGGCTACAGGGAGACCCTGTCTCAAAAAGACCGAAAAAAAAAAAAGTTCAAAAGGCAATTCTATGTGTACAGATTTTTGCTTGCTTACAAAGCCATGAGTTTCTTTACACCATGTAAGGGAGCAGCGAGGTAATCACAGAGGCCTGAGTCAGAGAACAATACTCCTGAGAGCAGACTGGCACAAGACCAAAGCCACAGAGAAGGGGCTGGCCTCCAGCCTATGATGTGCACACAGGCCTGTAGCCAGGAGGGGCTGCACTGTCTGTCAGCTCTGTGAGGCAGGCTCAACCCCCAGAACTCCTCTCTCCCACATGCTCCTGGGATATGGTTCTGAGCACCATCTGTGCCTGTTACAGCTGCTTCTCTGGTTCTCTTCTCTGAGAACCATGGCCACAAAGACTAAACTGCTAGTGCCAGCCTCCTGGGGAGGTGTTGCTGAGCCAGGCTCCCTGTCTGCCTGACGGCAGTGCCCAATAAAATCAGACTGACCTTTCTGATGACATGTCCATCTCTAAAGAGAAAAGTCAGCATTACAGCTGCTTCTAAACAGGTCCAAGAGAAAGTGGGGATGGCGACCAGGGCACCGCACCAAGGGGCAGGTCACCTCTTCAGCTGGAGCACAGACATGAAGGGACAGTGCACGTCCACCTGCCACGCTTACCACTTAGGAGCACCTTGAGCTGCTTGTCGTAGAACTCAGTCTCCCGGTGGGACACCAGAGCACACTCGGTGCACTGGCGCACCGGGTCCACAAAACACATGCGCCTAAGTGGCACCTTCTGGCTGCAACACCTGTCGCAGAAACACTTCCCACAGCGGCGGCAGTGGTGCTGGTGAGGGTGAAGTGTGGACAGTGAGTAGAGTCAGCTCAGACAACCCAGGCCTGCCCCACTGGCCAGCACTCTTGGGACACCCCTGAAGGCACCTAGGGTTGCATGTGTCACTGTCACACAAACCCCATGATTGTCCTCACAGCAGGGCTCTATCTCGCTTGAGAAAAATTGATCAAAAGAGCTTTTCAACTTGGTGTGCGTGTGTGTGTGTGTGTGTGTGTGTGTGTGTGTGTGTGTGTGTGTATTAATAGGTAAGCACTAGAGTACTAGTAAGTACTAGTTCACCAGTGTAAACCCAGAGCCTTGCACATGCTAGGTAAGCCGTTCTATCACTGAGCTACACCCCAGCCCTCAACTCCAACAGTCAAATCCAGATGCCAGAACAGCGTGTCTCTGTCTCCCTGGCAGGAGTCCACTGTGTGGGACCACATCAATGACTGAGACAAGGTATCACTTGCATTCAAAATGGTCCTATAATACACAGCTCCTCAGAGGGTCCCACTAGACCCAGTATCCCCACAACCCCTTCCCACAGCCTCAGCTCACCTTTCTGGTGATAAAGTCAAACTTGGCATCACACTGCATACATCTTGAACACTAGGAGAGAATGTGACACAGAATTACAAACGCAGCTCTGTCACTCGGTTGACTGCTAAGGCCACAAGGTGCCGGGAAAGGAAAGGCTGCTGGGAAGGCAAAGCTTCTGCCAACAGCAGAGGCAGCTTGCAGAGGGCAGATTCTCGTACAGTGAGGCAGGACCGCACACCCAAGCTCAAGGTCCAGCTCAGAACCAGGAAGCTTGGTCAGGACCCAGCCCAGGGGAGAGGGGGGCAGGTCTAAGGCCCACAGGAGCCCACCTTGAGCCTAGTCTGAATGCCTGGTGGCCAGGGTCTTGAGGGGTGCCGTTTGGCTTTCCTGAGTTCACATCTGTGGTACTCTGGACCCTTCAGGCTCTAGATCCTTTATCTAGCTCACTCTAGATATTTCTGTCTGGCTCTCCTGTTACAGGAGCCCAAGTTCAGTGCCGTGAAATGATCATGACAGTCCAAAGCACAAACACCTACACCAGTGAGAAGACACGTTACCTAGCTTTACAAATGAACACAGTGGGCAGGCATGGTGGCGCACGCCTTTAATCCCAGAAATCAGGAGGCAGAAGCAGGTTATCTCTGTGAGTTCCAGGCCAGCTGGGGCTACAGGGAGACCCGGTCTCAAAATACATACATACATACATACATACATACATACATACATACATACATACGCAAATAAATAAAAAAGCAAACAAAGTACAGGGAATCTACTGGTGAAATGAGGGTCCAAATAGTAGACGTAAGCCGACTCTGGTGTTGGCAGTGCACGCCTCATTACGGCCTGCGAAGAAAAAGGACTGAACGCAAAGATGAGCCGTCCAGTGTGGCCTGGTCATGCCCTGAAGATGCTTCCTCAAACAGAAGGGCACTGAGAGGTACAGCCCAGGGGCTCGTGAGACTTGACTGGCAGATGGTCTACATGCATGCAGTTTCCATATACAGGGGGACTAGTGAATGGGAACAGACTAGGACTTCCGAATGGCACAAAAGATCTGGGGATTGGGTGGCGGCACCAGGCAGGCAGCAAATGGATGGAGGCCACACAGTGAAAAGGGAGGACCGTTCCACTCTCGTGGTGTCTACCCGCTTTCCTTCCTCTGCTGCCCTCCCCCCGACAGCAGCAGGATGGGGGTGCTCTCTCTGCTGAGTCTGCATCATGCTTGAAGTTCCCTCTATGCAGAACCCCAGAATCCAGTTACATTGGGAAGTCCTGTTCAGAGAGCCTGTTTCCTAGTAAAACCCACAGCAGAAAACAAACATCCTTTCTGGGCGGCCAATTCAGTGCCACCAAAATCAAGGGGACACAAATGACTTCAGATCCTCTCAGATCTCAATACTCTAGCCACTGGCTGGGTACCGCCAGGATCACCACGACCTTAAGGAAGTAAATTCTCTTCAAATCTGTGAGAGCAGCCAACACCCGTGACAGAGCAGAGCAAGGTACAGCGACTCTGCCGAGCTGCTTACTCCCCACTAGCAAGGCTTCATCACAGCAGCCAAGGACTAGCACCTTCTTTCTGAACAGTCTAAAATAAATCTTGCCACCTGGACATATGGAACTCACCAGCCCAGGACACAGGGTGCCAAGCCTGGAGGGCCAGTGGTAATGAGGGGAGGCCTATACCCATCACATGCAAGGACAGAGTGACCTGACACATAACCCAGGACAGCAGGAAGACCAAGCAGTGGCTAGAGAAAGGCTAGCTGGGAGGATCCCAGCAGAGAAGCCCAGGCCCCACCCAGCCACACCAGAGACTGCTCAGTCAAAAATGCTCACTGAAGTGCAGGCCATGTTTGCCAAACACGTCACAATCATACATGAGTGGTGACTTACAGCTGTCTACCCAGGTTCCCCATGGGACTAAGGCCTGTCTGGTCTCCCCTACTGGAGTCCCCAGCAGCCCTGAGACTCCTGGCGCTTTCTAAACAAGTCTCTGAGAGGCTGCTTGACCTCTTGACCCCGAGGTCATCTGCACTGTGGGCACCTTGCAATGACCAGACGAGGGCTGCAGAGACCTGGAGCTTGGTCACAGTTCCCTGTCCCAAACCTCCCCAGTGATAGCTGCGTTCCCTGTCCCAAACCTCCCCAGTGATAGCTAGCTATTGAGCCTTCCACACATGGACATCACTGCCCAGCCCACTGGAACTTGCTGATTCCAGCTGTGCCTGGTTGGAAAAGCCACTTGGTGCAGTCAGCATGTAGGTGCTTCTGACACAAAATCCCTGGTGAACATCAGGTGGTCAGCTCCAAAAGCACAGAACTCCCAGCCACGGGAAGGTTCTGCCTTGAAATGGCCTCCCTGCATGCTCTAGAGGGAGAGAAGGTATGAGAGGGTACTGACAGCTTCCCTCAGAGTATCTCCATTCACACCCAGAGGAGCGTGTGGACGCCCTGCCCTGGCTTTGGAGGAAAGTCTAGCCACTGCAGTCTACTAATCATGGGAGATTTACCGTGAAAATGGAGAGGCCTGGATGTGATGAGCTAGGTCAGACTTGCCATGCACTGATGCTTCTAGTATCAAGACACCCAAGAGCCCTGGAACGCAAGGCCTCCCCACAGCCTTAGAGGAAATCTTCTCCCTGGCCTCTGTAGGCCCAAACAAGGAAGGTGCCAGTGAGGCTTAGGCACAGGCCCTTGGTGTGGAAGGTAGGGAGCACACCCCACTGCCAGCAGAGCTGCCAAGATCCCCAAAGTTGGGGCATCAGCCATGGGCATAGGTGGTGACCTGGTAACAAGTGACTGAACAGTGTGATGGAAAAGAACGGTCCTGTGAGTCGGGGCCTTTTTGCTTTTGGTGACTTAGGACTCAGCTGAATATTGAGAACCGTCCACATTTGAGAAGACAGACAGTTCCCTCCATGGAGATCTTCCTTTCCCTCCCAGTAGGAAGGGTCAGAGCTTAGAGCCTAAGAAAGGTAAGACTGGGGGCTGGAGAGATGGCTCAGTGCTTAAAAACACTGGCTGTTCCTGCAGAAGACCCAGGTTCAAATCCCAGCACCCACATGGCAGCTAACAACTGTCTGTAACTCCAGTTCCAGGGGATCTGACAGCCTCTTCTGTCTTCCGAGAGCATTGAACAAAATGGGTGCACTTACCTACATGCAGGCAATACACACATACACATAAAATAAAAATAAATAAAATATTAAAAAAAAAAAAAGGTTAAGACTGGAAATACAACCAAGATCACACCAGACAGGATTGTGCAGCCTGGCCAGGCTAGCATGCTGTGTCTAAGAAGACAGCTATTTGGCACAAATCACTGGTTCTGATAACAAGCAGAGTACGGTCAGTCAGTCTCAACAAGTGTGGCTGCAGCATCGGAGGCAAACATTTGGCTTTCTGCTCTGGGGGCAAAGATGGGCTCTCCACAGCCACCAGGACCTCTGCAGTGGAGGCCATCGGGTCTGGGTGGCAGGGGCCACACTCACCTTGAGTACCTGCCTTGGTTGTCGGCAGCCATCTCCACTCCAGCCAGCCAGAAACTCACTCAGCCTAGGCACGTGTGCTAGAGGCTCTCCACCACCCTCCCTGCTATGTCACCTAGCTAGTGTGTAAACGAGTCTGCTGCTCTACACACTCCTTGGAGCCTGACCTGTTCTGGGTCTCAGTCCTAGATCTCAGAAGATGCTAGCACCGAGAAGTGGCTCAGAACATGAGACCATCACCTAAAAGCCTGCAACTCTTCAGGCAGGATCTTCCCTCAAGCCTGTGGACCCCTCCAGATCATGCTAGCAAAAACATGCTCCACAAAACTCAAATGGGCTGCTTAGAGGAAATTCCTACTGGATGCTGAGGACCCACTTTCTCCACTGGTCCAAGACAAAAGCCAACAGTACTGGACTCCGCAGGTACCTCGAGGAGACCCCTGGGGCCCATGCTCAAATGTCCTTTCACTATGGAACAACAGGCACCTTTTAAGACATCACCGTGCAGCAAGGACAGACACCAACACACTGTGGCACCTCCAGCTCTACTGAGCGCCATGTGGCCCGGCCTGCATTACAGAGCATCTAAGTTCTGAGACCCTGCCACTAACATTATCTTGATTCCCTGCTGCTCTACGCTGCTTTCTGGACTTGGAGCCATTCCTGGCCCCACCCTAGCCTCTGGAACTGTCCACAGGGGCAAGTCCACAGCTGTGTCAGGAGCCTTTGCCCTCAAACTCCTGTGAGCTTTGCATGGTGGCACATCCCTGCCGCCGTGTACTGAGTCTTTGATTTGGACGTGCACAACAGGACTACACAGTGGTTACACGGGGAGATTACAATCAAGGAAGCCACAGCACCGCCAGTTCCAGAGCAGCTGTTTTATAGTCCCAAGGCCACCCCAGCTTCAGGTGTCCTGGCTTGGGGCATGACAGGCATAACAAGCAGAGAACAGCTCTGCATGGCATGGTGGTGTGTGGTCAGGCCAGGTGAAGACAAACTCCTTTGCGGGTCTTGTGTGTTCACATGTGGAAGCCAGGGGTCAACAGTCAACCTCAGGTGTTGCTCCTCAAGAACCTTTGCCTTGGTTTTAGAGACAAGATCTCGCACTGGCCTAGAGCTTGCCAAGCAGGCTAGGCCAGCAGGCCGGCAGGCTCAGGATCTCCCCGGCCCGCCTCTTCAGCCACGGTATTGCAAGCATGCACTACTCCACTCTGTTTTTTCGACATGGATTCTAGGGGTGGAACTCAGGTCCTCCTGCTTTTGTGGCAAGCACTTTACAACTGAGCTATCTCCCCAGCCCCTGGAGAGCTCTAAGACCAGAGTGTGTACCCAATCCCCTGCAAACCTAAGTGGCTGGTGTTTTGTTACTCTAAATAACCAATGAGCTAGTCAGGCATAGTGCAAGCCTGTAAAACACTCCCTTGAGGCAGGAGGATCACTGCAAGTTCAGATCACCCTGGGCTACATGGCAAGGTTGAGGGCAGCCTGAGCTACACAGTAACTCTGTCTCAAAACAAAAACAAAATGACTAGTGAGCTTATCTAGATTTTTAAACAAGGTAATTTTCCTGTT